ACCAAGCCCATCACTCTGCCCTCTGCAGTCCCCAAAGAAGGTGAGCCCACCAGTAACACAAGAGCAAAATGTGCTACATTTATCGGCTACTGGAGGATGCTACCACCTTGGAACTAAATCCCCAGTGGGACAGATGCGTGAATTCTATGCCGGGAGATTTTTTTTTCCAGCATCAGAGGCCTTGGCTCCAGGCTTCCTGGCTTCTCCCCCACCCCCTTCTCACCCCCCACCTGCTGCCTGGGTGCCTGCCAGCCCCCCCGTGTGCCCTTGCCGTGAAGCAAGCCACCTCCAGAAACTGATCGGAATACACAGGTGGCCCGAAGCCTTGGCTTTGGTGTTGACGGCACATTGCTCGTGCAAAATCAGGGGACCCTGTGAGCGGCCAGAGGGTGGCCAGGAGGGATATAAAAGGGAGAGGGAGGGAGGGAGAGCTCAAGATGGCTGGCAGGATGCGCGAGAGGAAATCTCCACACTGAAGCAGAGGCCAGAGAGAAACGTCCCGAGGTGGGGGCTAGCGCACAGGGGCCTAAACCTGAAGGCAGGCAATCCAGTCGGACTCCTGACAGCTGGTGAGTCAGGGCAGGGGTTAGAAAGGGAGGCTCAGGCACCAGGGAGCAGAATCTAAGCTTAGCAAACCTCTCGAGAAGGTAAAGGCCTGCAGGGGACAGCAGCCACTTGAGGTATGTGAGGGAACTGGGCCAGAGGCCAGAGGCCAGCTACGAATCTGGACAACCTCGGGGAGATCTGTGGAGGGACGAGGATTCCTACAGAGGGGATGGAAACCAGGCCTGGGAACGGGCCACAGCCTCAGCGCCGTGGGGGTGACTGAGGCACCCTGGTCTTCGGCAGCACCAGCCTGGGCAGTGTATGGGTTTGCTCTCCCACCACAGGCTCTGCTGTGGGGCAGCTCCTTCCCTGCCACGCGAGTGGGAAGAGTCAGGGGCTCCGGAAAACACACCACTGTCTCTTGGTTCTTCTTAAGCCCTGGACTGCATGACATGACCTCACCCGGCCTCATTCTTGCACCTTCCACCAGATAAAACCACCTCCATCCTGAATCAGACAGCGGGACACCCCCAAGATCCTTAGATTCAGTATGGTCAGCTAATTCACTGGGGAGTAGTCGCCATCCGGCTGTTTTCTGGGGGGAGGGGAGGAGGGGGACATTTTGCTGTGATGTCAACAGGTCACAGGTAGGAGCAAGTGGAGCTAGCCCAAGACAAAGGAGCCCCAGGGTTCCCTCAATGACTGAATGCCAGTGGGGGAGAGGTTTGGGGGGGTTGGCACCAGGAGATCGGAGGAGTCCGTGCAATCTGGTTTTACTGCCTTCTAAAACACACACCCCGTGTCTTCTCGAGGCCACCAAATCGCAAGGCTCACACACTTGTCCTCTCTCTCCCTTCTCAAGGAGTCTGTCTGTCTCTAAGATCCAAGAACGCCACACTGCCCTGTCCACTTCTTCCCGATGTCAAGCTCCAAAGCCTCATCCATGCCTCCCTCCAACAAAACCTTTGCTTCTCAGCTCTCCTCAAAAGGCATCGGATGTGCCCACAGGTTATGTGACATCTTCAGCCCGAGGACAGCCAGTCTTGTGATGGAATCTCTCCTTTGTAAACAGAAGACGACTCCTGTGGAATGCACTTCGGCCTCCAGTGTCTCTCCCATGGCCTCTCGGGGGTGGCTGTCTATTTCGCCTGTTGGTAACTGGTCCTACGTGCAGAGTGCAGCCGTCCCCACTGCTGGCATCTGGGCCAGGATACCCCCAGGGTTAATTCTGAGTTAGTAATAGGTGGCTGTTGGCTTCTTAAAACCTTGGATGCGTTCCATGTGGGTCCTGCAAGGCTTTCAGACGTGGGACACAGAGTATTGTTTGTCATTGTGGTGGCCTTTAATTCAACTTAAAATTCATTTCTGCTATGTACAAGCCCACAGAGGACTCGGGGCGGTACCAACAGCCTTTTCAGAAAAGAGCTTTCAACGTAGGGACAGTCTCCGGCAGACCTTTCCAACCTGCTAAGGAGATGTAGGCTGTTCTTTTCTTTCCCATTTTGATATTTTTTCCAGAGAGAAATCTCTAGGATACAAATGAGACCAGATACTTAAAGAACTTGAATACATCTTTAAAGACCTGTAGCCGGGAACTCTGTATGGATCGACGTTATTCGGCTCGAAATGGGACCGGAGACACCTGCTGCGCAACCTGAGTTTCTTTTCGTATCCTTCCTTTGGATGTGCTCTCTCTTCCAAACGGAATTCAAACCAGCCGGATAAACGTTCTCCCCACCCCATCCCCCGACCTCCAAGAGCGTTGAGGATAACTCTGGAGTTCTGTGGGGGTGAGTAGGGACCTGCATGGAAGGTGATGCGCGAGATAAGGATGAACTCAGTGTTTGGGAACGCTGACTCAGACAGTTGGTCATTGCTGGCAGCCCCTGGACAGCCCCTGCCCTCACTCTTTGCCATCTTCTCAGGAGATGGTCAGCCCCAGGACGCCTGTCTGAGCCCTTCAGCAAAGGAAGCAAGCAGAGTCCTGCCCTCCCGTCCCATATTGGAGGCTTGGGGGAGACTCAAGGGAGGGAAGCCTGGGTCCCTTGTGCTCCAGGTAGAGATGGAGTCCCACCTGACCCCCAGGTGAGCCCGACCCCTTCACCCAGAGATGTACTTCTGCTTCTGGTTCCGAGGGACCCTCTCCCACCCTGGCCCACAGGAGAACCTGCATGCGGGGCCGGCCACCCCTGCCTGTCCAGGCCGGGTGAGGCCTGCCTACCAGCAGACTGGGTCATAGGTTGGCCCCCCCGAGTCACTCTTCTCTCTCCCTTCCTCTGTGTCTGGTTCCTTCTCCATCCTGCAGGCCCACAGAAACCTCACAGCCGTTCTTCCCGCCCTTCCCTCACTCTGGGAAGACAGAGACAGCTCAAACGGTCGCTTCTCCTGGGTCTACCCTTTCATTCAGCTCAGAGTTGAGACAGAGGGCTGCAGCAATCCCCGCTATTGCTCGGCCTTAGGGATGGGCTCCTGGAAACAGGAGCTTCGCAGGGCCCCTGAAATCTCAGAGCACTTTCCCCTGCTGGGCTTGAGCAACGTTCTGCCACCGCGTCACCCCAGAGAGAGACTCTTCTCCACGAATCCATACTTTTAAAACTTCGTTGGGCCTCTCATCAGAAAGATCCTCCCTAGTTCCTTGCTTCCCTGTGGCTTCTGGGCAAAGACTCCGTGCCTGCCTCTGCCCTACCCCAGGCCCGCTCTTCCCTTCGCACCCCCTGCTGATGGCCCCCTGGGCTTGCCCTGACCTCTGGCCCCACACCCTAGGAAGGGCCGCCCCTCCAGCCCTGTCTGGCTCTCCACAAGCCTAGCTTTGTGTCGTGTAAGTCAAGTTGCAGACCTGAGCTGGCTGATCGGTCCCTGCTATTGTCCCAGGACCCCTTTTGTCGGGCCTGGATTCTCTACCTTGCTCTACTTCCCATTTTGCTTTGGGTAGATCACCTTGGACTAAACCCGCAATATCATTTTACCCTCGGATCGGAGTCTTTCGTTTTCCCCTCCCTCTCCACCTGGTCGCTGGTTTCCTACTTCCCTTGCTTTATCCGGGACACGTTTGATCCTGTCCTTGTAGACCGCACACAGAGACCCTCCGGGCAGTGGGGTAGCCTTTGAGCAGGGTGGCGTGGGCAGGGAACCCTGCCCAGAGCTAAGGGGGAAATGGGCAGGAGTGAAACGAAGGTGGTGCTAACAAAGAAAGAAGGTGAGCCTAAATCTAGCCTGTTCCATGTTGTGTGCCAGCTGGCGACAACTGTCAAAACCAAAGGAGGAAGAGAATAAGGAACGGTGACCTGATGGAACATCCAGGGACAGTCAACCTTCCATGGACCACATCTTTAGCTGAGAGGTGCTTCCTACTTGGGACATTTCTGAGAATCACAGCACTATCAGCAACTGCTCCCCAGAAAACCTCCTCGGATAGAATGGAATTCCTCTTGGATGATTCACAAAGCACAAGAGGGTCTTTCCTGTACTTGGAAGTGAGGGGGAGGGAGCTGCGTGACAGAATGCGGGGTGACTGAGGTTTGACTGGATGATCTCAGGTCTTTCTTGCCCAGGACCCTGGTCTCAGCACTCTGGGGCTCTTGGCCTGTAATTTCCTAATATTGCACACCGCCTTTGCTCCCAGAGTACTAGCCAGCTGGGTACCTCAATTTTCGGTCTGAATGATGGTCTCTTCAGGCTACCAGCCAGCAGACATGAGATACTCCCCCTTCACAGGCCTGTACACAGGCTCTTAACCTCAAGGAGAGCCCTGCTGCCCAGAAGGCCTCCCTGTAGCAGAAGGTCACTGCCAGGACATGACCTCTGCTGTCTGACTCCTCTTTCCAACTGCTGAGCTTCAACACTCTTTACTGCAGCCCCTTGGACAGGCATCACCAGGACGGGCCTGCGGACCTGGAAGGAGGCATGCGCTGGGGCTGGAGGAGGCCAGCAGGGACAGCGGGGCAGAGAGGGGTAGGAAGCCTACAGAGACAGCCCCTCACAGACTCGGCCCCAGGGTGTGCGCGGCACAGCCCTCCCCAGGCGTCGGGCACTGGGTTTTACCTTCTCATGCTGCACTAAGTCCACATAGTGACCATGACCGTGACTGTTATTTACTTAGTACCTCTCTTTAAATTGACTCCATTATAAAGCAAACCTATCTGCTTATAAAGAAACCTTAGATCTCTACGACACATGGCAAACTAGCATCACTTGTAACTTTGGATTGAAATCAATCAATTGATCTCTATTAAAATGAAAAAGTCATCTTCTGTGTCCCGTAGGAACCAGCATCTTGGTTATGGCTCTAGGTTATGTCTTTTGGACAGTAAGATCTGAGGGCCTAGGAGACTCTCAGGGAGCGGCTTGCTGCCTCCTGCCCCTGTTGCTTTGGCTGTAAAACGTGTCCCTGACCACGCTCTCGGCACACCCAGGCCCACCCCACAGTGTGGAATGGGCTCTCGGGCCCCACTTACAATTCGGGGTTTGAAGGGCGGCTTGATCTTCTTCTGCTCCAGAAGCACCCAGTCGATCTCCTTGAAGAACGGGTGCTGCTTGATGGCGTCCTCGCCATTCTGTGCCGCCACACAGCCCAGGCGCTTGTGGGGGTTCTTGGTCATGAACTGCGGGGAGGAGGGCACAGAGTGAGTGACGGAGGCCTGGCCGGGACAGGCTGTGGGGAACGAGGAAAGTCAGCCACGGCCACGGCTTCATGACCTTGTCCCAAGCCTGTTTCCTGCACTTGTAGGGGCTCTGCCTTCAGGGTGTTCTTTCACATTAAAAAAAAAAAAAAAATTATGTATTTGAGAGAGAGAGAGAGAGAGAGAGAGAGGTAGGGAGGGAGGGAGACCACACGAGTCAGGGAGGGGCAGAAAGAGGGAGAGACAGAGGATCTAAAATGGGCTCTGTGCTGACAGCAGAAAGCCTGATGTGGGGCTCGAACTCACGAACTATGAGATCATGACCTGAGCCGCAGTTGGACACTTAACTGACTGAGCCACCGAGGCGCCCCAGCGTACTCTTTCACTCTTATACAGAACTTACCATATGCCAGCCGTCATTCTAAATAAACGTCATCTACATATTAACTCGTTTCATCCAAATGCAAGCCTCTGAGGTCTGTTATTATCCCTATTTTATAAGTGAGCTAGTTGAGGCACAGAGAGGTTAATTAACTGGGCCAAGATCTAACAGCCAACAAGGTACAATGCTGGCATTAGGAACTTAGGCTGTTACTAACTCCCTGATTCTCCTCAGATTCTTGAGCCTCCTAGTCAGGGAGACTGAGATCCGATAAACTCACTCATGCTGAGCGGTCCACAGTCCTTGTTGAGGTAAGGAAAGAGGACCAGATATTCATGCTAAGGCAAATTATCAAAGGCACGCCCTCCACTTCTCTTTTTCCTGGACCTGGACCCTCTCATTTTTTTTTTTTTTTGAATTTGAATTTGTAATCTCTAGCATAAAATCTCCATGTAGATCAATTGACAAAAAAAAAAAAAGATAAAGAAAAGCTTATTGCTTCTCGATGCTTGTCTGGTAAAACCACATGGATGTGTTTTATATTTGTTGGCTAATGTCTTATGAGAAGAGCCTCTGGCTTGGAGGCATCTTCCCCAGACATTAAAACCTGTATTTTTATCTGTAGCCCTGAGAGGTCCCCACACACCCAGGCAAACTTGTTCCTATTAAGCGAGTCAGTCCTGACGGCAAATAATTTGGGTAGATGTGTACCACATAACTTTGGAAAAAGTCAGTGCTGGTAGGTGGAACTATTTCTGATAGCCACCCCAAATAAAGGCAGGGGTGCATGTGTGTGCCCGTGAGCTAGGGACAGAGTTACATTTTACAGGAGGAAGGCTAGGAGTCTGTACTTAAACAGAGGAATTGAAGAGGGCAAACCATAATGCAAAGAAACACATCTATACAGATACAATTTCAGGCTTCATCATCAAGGGAGAGTTTTCTGGGCAGGGAGAGCCTCTTTTTGACCCTTGCCTGATGTCCCTGAAGCCAAAACACATGGACACTGAGCTGAGAGAGCCGCAGATAAGAGAGAGAAGGGGTTGTGGGCAGATCAGAGTCAGCAATGGGAACAGTGCACGCTTTGCCCTCCTAATCTGAAAGTCAGTGGACACCACCCCTGCTTAAACCCTCCGATCCAGATCCCCCGGAGGATAAAGTCCACACCCCTCAGCTGGCACACACACACTTCTCAGTGTGAGCCCAGACTAGCTGGTTGGGCTTTCACATCCTTTATTACCCCTATAATGCCCATATCCAGTCCCTATGAGGACCAGGCCCCCTCTGTTGAAGGCTTGCCAGAGTCTCTCCTCTGTGGGTGCCTGGGACATCATGTTTCTTATTTATTTAACTTACAGTTTATCTAAGAGCACCTGGGTGTCTCAGCCAGTTGAGTGACCAACTCTTGATTTCGGCTCAGGTCACAATCCCAGGGTCATGAGATCATGCCCCGTGTCGGGCTCCACACTGGGCGTGGAGCTTAGCCTCTTTCCCTGTGTCTCTGCCCCTTACCCGCTCATGCTCTCTCTCTCTCTTTCTCAAAATAAAAAATGTTAAAAAGTATAATTTATCTAAACATCCCTTACCCTTAGTGAGCTCTAGGATAGAGGAGTCAGTTCTATCTTCCCAGCATCTGGTTCAGCGCCTAGCTTCTACTGTGCACCTGGTATATTTAAATGACTAAATAGGGGGCTGAACCCTGGGCCTCAGAGCACAGCACAGTGAAAAGGAAAGAAGGCAGCAGGACCATCACTAACTGTTGCACAGGTTGTGCACTACATAACTCTCTGATGCAAATGGCCTTCTCTAGAGCTCTGTACCACTTTCATGCAGGCAGCAGCTCTTAGAGACATAGCTCAGTGGCCAAAGTCATGAAAACCCGGCTTGACTTTAGAATGTCAGGAAGTACAGATTCTTCCTTACTTCCTTAGCTCTTCCTGTCCCTCCACTTCTGGGAGAGGAAGTAGAAGGGCTTCCTTATAGATGGATTAGCTACACCTCAGGAACATGCAGATTTTAACATCTCAGGAAGATGCTTCTGAGCCCGGAGCCCTTGCAGAGAAGATGCCTTCTCTCAGAGACTCTGCCCTCAGCACTCAGCAGACACAGACACAACCTCTAGCTTCTGAATCTCTGTAGGTCAGTTTCTCAACCTCTGCACTAATGACATTTTGGACGGGGTACGTCTTTGTTGCGGGGACTGTCCTGTGCACGGTCGGGTGTTTAGCAATGTTCCCGGGTTCCACCCACTAGATGCCAGCAGCAGCACCACCCCCCACCAGGTTGGGACGGCAAAAACATCTCCAGACATTGCCAAATGTCTCCTGGGGTGGGGGTGGGAGGGCAAAAGCATACCTAGTTGAGAAACACTGCTCCGGGTCTACTGAAATGAAAGAGCCTTGTGGGGTGCGGCAGGGGGCTCACTGGAAGGTTTGCTGGGCTGGTGTTCAGGGTACCGGGACAGTGACCAGCTCTCCGGGCTGGTGCTCTCTGTCTGCTTCGGGTGCTGCCTGTGGGTTTCTCCTTAGCCCGCACCTGACACAGTGCCTGGCACATACTAGATGCTCACATACTCTATCTGCTTCCTTCACTGCTCTCATCCCAGTGGGAACTATGTGTGGATCTATTTATTTATTGCCCACCTTTGCCTGCTGGAATGCAAGGTGCACAAGGCAGGGTCATTGGCTGTTACACTCACCAGTGCTTACTTAGCATGAGGCATGATGCCCGGCACAATGGAAACATTCAGTAAGTAATAGGTCATTATGGGGCACCTGGGTGGCTCAGTCGGTTGAGTGTCTGACTTCAGCTCAGGTCATGATCTCACAGTTTGTGAGTTCGAGCCCCGCATCAGGCTCTGCCCACTTCAGATCCTCTGTCTCTCTCTCTGCCCCTCCCCTGCTTGTGCTCTCTCAAAAATAAATATTAAAAAAAAAAAAATAGGTCATTGAATTATTGACTGGGAGGGAGAGAAGGTGGGGGGAAGAGAACTTGATGAGTTGAGGGAAAGAAGAAAGGAGGGAGAAAAAAAGAACTGTATGCTCCGATGTGGCATTTTCCAGAAGATGGTATGTGTGCTCCCAGACTCCTCTATAATGATTTTAGATCTTTTTACCATTTTCATATGATGATTTATGTTAATTAGTTATGGCAAATGATACTGACTTACCATTATGACAGCGATATGAAACGTCTTTGTAAAAAACATGCCCTTAGGTAAATATGGGTAGTGGATTGAAAGAACAAGTAAATCACAGTGGAGAGGGTACCTGATATGGGAAATCTGGTGGATGTGATGTGCCAAGTCCTGAACTTTGGAGCATTCTGGTGGGTGAAAGAAGCCAGGACTAGAAGGCAAGTTTCATGGGCTGTCACCTGGGTCCTGCCTCAACCCAGTGGGTCCACTGCTCTGGCTCACCTTCCCTGCACCCCAGCCCTTACAGCTTTCTAAGAAGGTCAGGGAGCTTCACATCCTTGCCCCAGCACAAGTGGTTTACACCACGGAAACATCTGTGCTGGACACGTACTGAGCATCTCACATGGGAGGGATTATTTGCAGGGCTGGGGACAGTCTCTCTGTCGTGTCTGAATCCAGCACATGGCTGTGTACTTTCTGATCAGGTCGTTTGCCACCATGGACACAGGTGCACCGTGCCTGCCTCCCTCTTGCCCATCACAGGCTCCAGGGGAAGACAGGTACAGGCTGCAGGGGAGGACGCGGGGTCCAGAGCCCAGTGTGCAAGGGGCAGAAGTGACCCTAGCATGGTTTGGGGTGCTTCTGTTCGCTCGGACATGCAGCGCTCCCTCTCAGGAAACACAAACATGTCCCTGGCCCACGGAAAGCAACTCATGCCTCAGCACCCCACTGTGACCGCCCGCAATGCCTCCCTCTCAGCTGCCGCAGAGGTGGGACAGGGACAGGCGGAGAGGAATGGGGCCAGGGGTCTTCGGGATGGGGAAGGAGCGACGGGGTCACAGGGAGAAGACGGAGGCTGGGGAGCAGGCACGGGGTGGGGGAGGGTGAGGACTCACGGCTTTCAGGATGCTGACGGCCTCCTTGCTGAGCCACACCGGGTAGAGCACGTCGTCATGGAGGATGGACTCGAACAGGTCATCCTCATTGTCGGCCTCGAACGGGGGCTGCCCAGCCATCATTTCATACATCAGCACCCCCAGGGCCCACCAGTCCACTGAGGGGCCGTACTCCAACTCCTGCAAGATCTGTTCAAGGACACGGGCAAGGTCAAGACCCACCAAGGACGCCCCACCCACGGCCGCCCTGTGTCACAAGTGCTGTGTGAACTGCCTCGTTATTCCCAGCTTGCCGCTCTGCACAGCAGAACCCAGGCAGGTATGATTTAGGCTCGAAATCAGCCAATTCAGTGAAAGCCGAGTTTGGAACACACGATGCTGGGGGCTGTCAACTCTCCTCCAAAGTCAACATTGACAGCCTGTCCTCCCGTGGGAATAGATCACTATTCTTTGAGCAGATGAAGTTCCTGACTTGCACTTAGGACTATACAAAAATGCATGAGTATTTTTGAAAATCAGGGTCAGAGAGGCAAGATGCAGACAGAGAGAGACATAAGCAAGCTGTGAACGACTGAGAGCAAGCGAGGGCCGTCTCACACCCAGCACAGAGCGTGGCGCACCGAGTGAGAAGCGCACAGAATGTCAGTCTTCTTTAAATTGTGACAATGTTGAGTTCACCTGAGCCCTGTGCTTCTGGAAAAGAAACTACAGTTAATAAATCTCCCCATCCTTTTGTGTTCTAACCACAAAGGACAGCTATGCTTTCAGATATTCTAGGAAGGAAAAGACCCATCTCCAACGTTCCTCATGACTCCCATAAAACCCACTGATGAACCCCTTGTTTGCCTGCCTCTGCAGAGCCCAGACCCCTTCATTTTCTGTGAGGCATTTTCCTTATTGCAACAGCCTGCATCCAATCATCTCCTCGACTGTCGTTGCCAACGGTCACTTCTCTCACCTAGGCTCTCAGTCTCTCTCGTTTTCCTCTGACCGCAAGCCTAGTCAAATGCATTTATGTTAAATGCATGCATGACACGTGGGTAAGGAATGTTCTGTGCCATCGGCTTCCTGCACGGCATGTGGGGACTGAAGTTTCCTAAACTGAATCACAATTTCAGTATCTGGGAGAAATGCCACCTAAAGTCAGGAAGCGATGGAGCCTTCAGAAAAGCGAGTAATTGCCCCAATCTGTTTTTTTTTCTGGAGCACTGGCCATGGGTTACAGTGGAAGAGACAGAAGACTGACCAGGATGTTCCCACCCCATCCCAAGTTCAGTGCTAAGTGTTTTCTGGGCGATCTGGAGCTACTCACTTGACTTCCTCATCAGACGAGGCTCAGATTCTCAGCTCAACCTCGTAAGATGAATTAAGGTAGAAGACTTGAAAGCATATTGCAAAATACCCAGATAACTGGAAGGTGGTACAAGATCCAAGTTTTCTCCTGTTAGGTTTGGTCTCCATGTAGACAGAGTATGTAGTAGGTCAATGGTCTAGGTGTGGCTCAGGGTAGAAATAAATGCTGGGCTGTCCCCACCGCTAAGGGGGGGACTCTGAAGTGATGTCCTGGTGCTGCCCACGAACAGAAGGGCAGAGGAGACACTTCTGGTTTCTCTCAGCTCTGTAACTCTATGGAGAATTCCCAGAAATGAAGGTGATAGAGGACAAGCATGGCTGGGGTGCATGTCCTAAAAGGGGTGTGCATTCAAGACACCCCCAAAACAGCAAAGGCCATGAGCCATCATGTCAGCTTGCAGGACACCTCAGGCAGGTAACTTCTCAGGGAACTTGTTCAGAGCAAGGCTCCAGCTCAGTTCTCAGATCTCAGGATGGCCAGGGAAGAGGACGCGGAACGTGAGGACCGGGGCTTTCCCCGCTCTCCCCCGAACACCCTTCTAGAGACTAGAGATCGCTTGGGATTAAGTAAAAACAGACTTGGGAGGAATCAATTTGAAAACAGTAAAAACATGCATGATTTAAGAACCCTTTTAATTTAGAATGAAAAGAAATGCAAGCAAACGCAGCCGCCTTTGAATTATTTGGGGCTAGTGATGTTTGGTGACTATCTTTGGTTTTTTAGTTCAGTGGCCAACACATAGTGTCTGAGAGGTCAGAGCTATAGGCTCCGCTGTCCCGAGAAGCTGGAAATGGTGCTCTGTACCAGAGCCAAAGCCAAAGTCAAAGCCGAAGCCAGTGGCTCTGTCAATCATAAAAGACCCGGCACCCCGCCTGGCTCACCATGGCACTGCTGGTTTCGAGGGCATGGCCATCACCCATCTCCTCCAGAAAGCTTTCCCATATTTCCTCAGCTTTCCTCTTATCTTCTGACATCCTAAGGCCTTTTCCTGTCCCTAGGATCTGCAGGCACTTTCCATACACTACCGTGATTTTGGTTATTTTTTCACAGACAGTTGTTTCCCCTGGGCATCTCTAAGCCACCAGGCACAAGGGTTCTAGAATGCTTCTGAGCCTCCCCCTACCCCCGCCCTCAGTGCAACCCGACCAACTGCAGCACTCGTGAGACTGGCTGTCACATGTGCCCACTGTGTGCATCTCACCGGGTGTGTTCCCTTCTCTCCTAGGCTCAGGGGGCTCCGAGTGCTAGGGTGGCCAACCTCTAGGAGGCGGCAGATCTGGGTTCTGCGCGGGTTCTGCGCCTCCACAGGGTGGTGGGGAGGGGACCTCCAGGTGGCCTATGTGTGCTTCGCCAGCATGGCTCTGCGGAAACCACAGAGCGGCCCTGCCCACCCTTCCCCAGGCCCACTCCTGCGCCTTTCCTTCTGGGGCGGCATCTTTCGTGCAATCCCTTCCGGGCTTGGCCCTAATTTTATGCTTTCTAACCGGCTTGTCAGCAATGGAGAGGTGAGAAGGGCAAGGCTTTGCACGCCATGGGAGGGCACCTGGTGCGGTAGCTACCCCCCTTGAATTGGTCAGAGCTGGGGTAGCAGAGAAGGTCAGGCATGGGGTCTAACGGTGCCAGTGGTACCCAGGGCTGGCTACCATTTCCTGGGGAGCAGGGGCTGGGTACGGGGAAAGGAGAGGGGGTGCAGTGGGGGCTAGCCAAGGACACATGATGGGAAGGGAAGCCTTGGGGAAGAGCTAGCACCAAATGAGCTAGCGCCTCATCAGGTGTCTCTGGTTTCAGTGTTAACCCAGGCTCCTCACAACCCCTCCTATTTGAATAGAGGCTTTTGGTTTCTCAGGCATTTCCATGCTCTAATCTCATTAGCTTCTTAAAACACCTTGATGAGGTAGGTAGGGCAGGAACTGTGATTCCCATTTGAACGATGAGGTCACACGGGGGCATCAGTGGCCCAGGCTAGCCTGGAATCTCAACTCTCAGGTCTGTGCTTTTCCCACCCCGCTGCACGAGCCAGCAAGGGTGATGGCCACTACGTATGTGCCAATGCTCGCTGCGGGCCGGGCACTGTGCTAAATGCATTAGAGGCATGATTCCATTTAATCTCCCCCATAGCCCTTGATAAAAGTAGCAATGCCTCTATCAGCTGTGATCTGCCTAGAGGAAGACCACGGATTGCTTTTCACACATAGTGGGCACAAGGATGGAAAGGGAAGGAACAGTGTCCATGCCTTGGTATAGACAGAGAGATCGGCACTGTTCATTGTGACTCTCGTCAACGGACTGCCTTTCATGAAGGTTGTGTGGGTGTTTTGTTCACCATAAAGTGAGTGTTTGCCTTGGGCTGGGTCCTTAACTACTATGCTGGCCTGTTAACCCTTTGTCTCCAGCATCCGCTTACAGAGGAATTGGAACCAAGTATTCGGATGATAAGAAATGAATGAGGAAGAAGGTGAAAAAGAAGGTCCCAATTGAGAGCCCTCACTTTTACTGATTTCTCCTCCAAGATTAAATTCCTAGTGTTCCTACTAAGGAAGATATTTTGAAATCTCTCCTTTCAGATGTTAGAAGATAAAGGTTCTGAAGGGAATTCAACGATTACTTACCATCCTCACATCTCTCCTCAGGCCCCCCATGTCTTGTCTGGTCTGTGAAAAGTCTCTTAACTGACCTTCCCTCACTCTCTGCCTTCGGAGCTCTACTGCCATTGCTCATCTTCATCCTGGGACGGGTCTGAGAAACCCGGACACCCTCCAATGGAAAACTCTTGGTGGGTGTCTAGACTCTGAGCGTGCCACTTTCCTAGGTCTTTGTTCCTAGTTTTATCCATTACCATGTTCTGGCTATACTATATCCCTTCCCTGAACAAGAAAGAATATTCTCATCCCTTCAGCCATGCTCGTAGTGGAGGGTCACAAGTTCAAATTCATTTATTCATTCAGCGAACCATTACTAACAGCCTGATTTGTGTGCTGGTTCCAGGACTCAGATTAGAAACACAGCCCCTGCCCTAAAGGATTCAGAGCCCAGGGATACTGAACATCTTGTGCTGCCCCGCCCCCATCCCCTTCCTCCCTGTTGTTTTCGGGAATGCTTCCCACCCCCTACCACCATAGGAAATCCTGCTGATTCTTGACCACTTAGTTCATCTACCAGGTGCTCCAAGAAGCCTCCCCATGTCCCTGAGGATACCGTCTTGTCTCTCATATCTATTTATTATGCTTAATTAGTTGTGTACTTATCTTCCACTGCCTCTAGACCAGAAGTGCTTTTAGGACAGTGATGAGTGTTTAGTCAATTCTTTATCCCCACTTTGCTTTGTGTCTAGCAGGTGCTCAAACAATGCCCACTGAAAGGAAATGAAATCTGAATGGGCTAACTAACACCCACCCACCACGGGCAGTGCTTAATTGGGATTGGTATTTCCTTCCCATCGAACAAGTGTCAGAACCCTCAAGGCCATTTTAATGAAGCATCTGTGACGTACTTTGTCCTAAAGTGGAATCATATCATGCTAGTTATCACTCAGCCTAGGTAAGAGTGATTTGGAGAAATTCAAGGCAAACAAATACTTTATGATGAACAAAACATTTGGACAACTTGACAAAAGGCAGCTCATTCGTAAGACTCCCAGTGGACATCTCTGATGTATGTGTACAGCGAGGCACGCTTTCCTCTTCCTGCTCCACCCTGTGCGCCTGCTATGCAGAATTGCCATGGCGCTAGGGAGGGCAAATGATTCCCGGTTTCACTGTACGAGCGTTACAGCTGATGAAGAAGCTAATTGTTGCCTTTATCGATGGTGCTCTTTTATTCTGGTTATCAAGAAGTGAAAACAACGATAGGAATCTACAAAGTTCTCGTAGTCCTACTTTCATTGGTAGTTCTGGACTGAGAGGGAAAGGTAATGCCCCGTGAGGACCTGCCCAGGTTTGGGGAATGGCCTGTCGCTCACAGTTTGCCCATTATCTCCCTTATCACCGTCAGCTTTCTTCCAGAGAAATCAGCAAGCCTTCTACCTTTCCTTTTCTCCATCCTCCCTCAGAAGCCATCCTAGTTTTCTAGAGCCTTCCTCCAGCACCACTAGGTGACCTCAGTGCATGGGAATGGACCTCTGCCTCTGCCCGATGGAAGAAGGTGGCCCTTCGCACGGGGTCTTACCTCGGGTGCAATGTAGTCAGGAGTCCCGCAGAAGGTGGTGGTTGTGACACCGTTCAGAATCCCTTCCTTGCACATCCCGAAGTCGGCCAGCTTGCAGTGACCTTCTGCGTCCAGAAGGATATTGTCCAGTTTCAAATCCCTGCAAGAGGGGCCAGAACCACACGGTTAATGCTTCAGCCACCCCAATATGGCCTTCTTGAGTTGGAGAGATGTATACATCTCTGGGAAATCTTCTATAGAAAGGAAAGCCTTTGAGGAGGCTTGACCTGCTGGCAGCCAACCTCAGTCCGGGGCTCTTGCCCATGCTGGGCAACACCTAAAGGTGCCTCCATTGTCCCCAACACGACAGAGGAGCTTCTAACATCTCAAGACTGCTGTGGTTTAATAAAATCAGTAGCTATTTACTGAAGTCCCACTATGTGCTGAAATTCAAATTATTTAGACCTTGATACGAGAGAAAGAAGCAACCACCCCTCTTCCTTCATGGCTTAACCATAGGGATCAGCTGGAGGGATGAGACTAAGGCATAGTAACATCAATGACTCAGATAAAACCACAGAAGGATCAGATGCTACTTTGCAGAACACTGGCTATGTGAGCTACTGTGTTTCGTGGGGAAGACCACTGACAGCTGCTGCAGGCTGGGAGGGCTTCCGGAAAAAAGGACTCTCAAGAGAAGCTTGGAGAGATGGTTTGGAAAGAAAAGGTGGGAGGGAAGGGAAAGCCAACACAGCAGGTGCAAAAGGCAGCGAAGGGACCAGAGAACTGGGCTCCCGTGATTGGCAGGGCAAGACAGGCATATTGAAACCAACCCCAAAGAGCCTAGAATGCAAGAGGGGTTTGAAATTCATGCCAAGCACAACAGAAGACCTGCCTGCATGAGCACGACCTATTTGCGAGATCTGCCTTCTCTGGGGACAGGAGAGAAGACACACTGGCAGCCACGACCAGGCCTACAGTGCCAAGGCGGGTCTGTGCAGTGAGTGAGGGCCACAGAGGGTGAGGGGGGTGCCTGCCGGCCTCAGCCAGTGCAGCTCTCTTGCATCCTGCTTGATAGTTCGGGGTTCTACGTAAGATCCTGTATAAAATTTGAAGTTCTGGGTAAGAATTCCCCTATCAATCAAATCTGCAAACCCCACTGCTGTCCCATAGAAGGACCCAGGCCATCAGATGGAGGTCCCCACCCTGGGTCTCCCTCAGCAGCCACTCTGGGCTGAGGCGGAGGGGAGGGGGCTCTTGCATAGGAGGCCCATTGTCCCGCACAGAGCAAGAGGGGCCTTTCTCACAAGTCTGCTGGCGGCCGAATTTGAACTTCAGCCACCGTCGGGGATCTGGGCCTGAGTGCAAAGGTGGGGCAGGAAGCACTTCAGGGCCTGCCTGCTTTGCACCCACGGCCCTGTTTCCGCTTACAGCTGGGACTTCTTGAGAAAAGAGAAAGCTCATAAAATATGCTGTTCTAAGCAGATGCTTGTGCGCTACAGACGGAGCAGGGAGCCCAACCAAGCCGAGCCACCGGGACTGGGCTCCCCGACCTCCCACCCCGGCCACTGTGTGTGGTCAGGGGCTCGGCTCTGGCTGGGGTAGGAGGGAACGAGGAAGAACACGGACTCGGGCACAGGGAGCCTGGGTTTCAATCCCTCTTGTGGCACGGCCCGGTGAACTCACCCTGTGGGCCGGTTATCTGGTTTATCAAATTGGGGTGACACCTTCCTGCTTGTCTAAAGGGTTGAGACAGTGTGTGTGGAAGCAGTGGACCTTTATGCCATTACACCCACTTCCTTCACGAGGAAACTGAGTTGGAGGGAAGTGGGTGTTCTGTCCGCCCATCTGAAGATGTTGGGAGTCGTCAAGAGGTGAGCCTACGTGCCCTGCCGAGTTACAGGCGCTTGGTGCTCCCTCATCTGGTGCTGCCTTGTCCAGACCCACACGCATGCACCACAATCACCATGGCAACACTCGTAATTGTAACAGCAATAACAAACATGTGGAAAGCACCTCTGTGGCCTACAAACCACATTCGTGTTCTGAACAAGGGTTCAGAAGAACATGCTTCGCTAATATCAGGGCAGCGGTGGAAGCTGGAAAAGGCAGGTGGTTTCTGGAAGATGACGAGGGGGTTGATGGAACTAAGACTTGAGCTCGGGCCTCTGCTCTAAAATCTGGTGTTCTTGCCTCCATGTACTACGCTCCTCTACCTTCTTGTCTTCTGGTGGCATTTTCTTCCAATGCCAATTTGCAAAGGGCCCTTGCCTGACCCCTCGCAAGCCCTCTCTTTTAAAGCCTTGTCACTGGCAGGGTGCATCCTGCTTTGTATGAATGGACTAGATCCAGAAGGTTCTGAGCCAGCCTGAACCTTGCCCTTCTAAAAATTCAACTCCACTTCCGTCTGCTCAGGGTTCCTGCTCAGGGCAAGAGAAGGTGGAACATCTTGCTTGTCCCCAGCTTCTGCTCACTGCCTGTCCTAGCCCTGGCCTAGGTACACACCGTCCCCTGCTTCCTGCCTCCTCTTCTCCCTGAGGGAAGAAGCCGCCCCGCACTGAAGGCCCACAGAGGGGCCACGAGAGCCGGGTATGCTCTGCAGGCAGCACAATGGCAGCTGCGTCCTGTGCCCTGTGCCGTGGGCAAGGGAGGCCCCAGGCCAAAGCACGTCTTCACCCCAGCCCGCCGCTGATGCCAGAAATCCCGCCACTACTCACCTCTTCAAGTTTCCCCTCTACTGTCTGTGTTTCTCTAGAGCTCTGCCTCCCCATATGAAACCAAGTCCACGGAAGAGACCTGGTTCCTTTCCTTTGTGACAGAGAAGAATGGGTGCTGCTGGAAGGTCCCCTGGGGACCGGAGATGCCATCACCAAGGCTTCATTCCCCTGGGGGTCTTCAGTCTCTTTAAATAGAAAAATACCCAGGGCGCCTGGGTGGCTCAGTTGGTGAAGCCTCCAACTTCGGCTCAGGTCATGATCTCATGGTTCGTGGGTTTGAGCCCCGCACTGGGCTCTGTGCGGACAGCTCAGAGCCTGGAGCCTGCTTCGGATTCTGTGTCTCCCTCTCTCTCTGCCCCTCCCCCACTCATGCTCTGTCTCTCTCAAAAATAAATAAACATTAAAAAAAAAAAACATAAAAAAAGAAAAAAGAAAAATACCCACAGGGCTGGGACCAAACCTGCCTGGTGCTGGGCTCTCAGTGAGTTCCTGAGTGGGGTTTCAGTGGATGGCAGACCCAGGGCCGCCCAAGGTCATGTTTGCTCAGGCAGAGGAAAAGAGAGAGCACGCCCTTCCCTACAAGGGCGTAGGGGCCCAGGGCCGCTCAAGGAAGGTGGCATCCCTGGAATCCTACTTGCCGCACGGCTGGCTGAGGGTGGTGGCCCCTCTTGGTTTTCCCTCCCTCCTCCTTAGCCACACTGCTGCCCAGTTCCTCCCCCGGGATCTCTCGCCCGCTGGTTTTTAGTGCTGCCTGCTCTGAGGGGTCTCTAAAGCCCCCTGGGAAGTAGGGCCGAACAACCATTTCTCAGCCTTCCTGGCTCTGAGGCCCGGCTTGCAGGGCAAGGTGTGTGGGCTCTTGGCCTTTCTGGGCATTCTCCACGGTGCTCAGGACAGGGGCCGGGCACACAGTAGGTCCTTATCAAACTTGTTGACTGACAGCTTTGCAAAGAGGGACTTCTGTCTAGATTAGATATTAATTCCCATCAGTCCTCAAATACAAGGGCAGGGTACATTTGAGGACTGGGGACAATTTTAAAGGAATGAGATCTTTTTTTTTTTTTTTAATAGTGGAAAAAATACAGCAAAGTCCTTTCTCCTATACATGAATCAATATGACAAGCTTTTACTTATTAAATTGATAGTTTCAATTTTTAAAATAGGTAAAGCCTTCATTGTGTTCTAAAACTGAAAGTATAAAAAGGGCATACAATAAAAATTGTCCCTTCTGCGTCTGTTCTCCAGACACCTCTTTTTTCCCCATATAGGCAACTGCATTAAAAAAAAAATTTAGGGGTACCTGCGTGGCTCAGGTGGTTAAAGGTCTCACTTCAGCTCGGTCATCATCTCCTGGTTTGTGGGTTTGAGCCCTGTATCGGGCTCTGTGCTGACAGCTCAGAGGCTGGAGCCTGTTTGGATTCTGTGCCTCCCTCTCTCTCTGCTCTTCCCCAGCTCATGCTGTCTCTCAAATAAACGTTAAAAAAAAAAAGTTTAACATTTGTTTATTTTTGAGAGAGAGAGAGACAGAGAGTGAGAATGCAAGCATAGGAGGGGCAGAGAAAGTCAGAGGATCTGAAACAGACTCTGAGAGCACAGACCTTGATGTGGGGCTTGAACTCACAAACTGTGAGATAATGACCTGAGCCAAAGTCGGATGCTTTGACTGAGCCACCCAGGTGCTCCAGGCAACTGCATTTTATCCATTCCTTGTGTATCACCTTGGTCACGTTTTACGCATAAATAAGAAAACGTGAATATATCTTCATGTTCCCCCTTGTAACTAATCGGGAGCTTACTACACGCACTCTTTTGCACCTTACCTTTTCTATTTTATATGTATTGGAGATCTGTCTTGGCACATAAAGAGGCTCCTAATATTTTTTTAGGACTGCATAATACTCTACCATATTTATTGGGGAACATTTAGCTTGCTTTCAATATCATGCTATTACAAACAGTGCTGCCATGAAGATGTTTATAAATATATGAAGGTAACTGTACATGCTTTATAGAAAAGAAATTTCTGTGTCAGATAGAACAGGAATGTGGACTTTGATGGATGTTGCCAAGTTGCCCTTCTTAAGAGTCTGGAAGATTTAGACTTTTTTTTTTTTTTTTTTAATGTTTGTTTATCTTTGAGAGAGAGAGAGAGAGAGAGAAGCAAATAGACAGACAGAGTATGGGCAGAGGAGGGGATGAGAGAGAGAGAAGGAGACACAGAATCCGAAGCAGGCTCCAGGCTCTCAGTTGTCAGCACAGAGCCTGATGCTGGGTTCAAACTCACAGACCATGAGATCATGACCTGAGCTAAAGGTGGACACTTAGCCAACTGAACCACCCCGGTGCCCCCAATGATTTGCACTTCTGTCAGCAGTCCATGATAATGGCTTCTTGTCAACGTGGTACATTATTGAGTTTCTGGTAGTCTGACAGGTGAATACAATAT